TGTGAAAGTTCCCCCCGTGAGCCGACCCCGCTGACGGCCGGTTTTCTGCCCTCTCCTTCCTCTCCCAGGTGCTGATCATCGGTGGCGGCGACGGGGGAGTGCTGCGAGAGGTGGTGAAACACCCGACCGTGGAGTCCGTGGTGCAGTGCGAAATCGATGAGGTGCGTTGGGCTCCCCGGCTGCGTGGAAGTGCCCCGGGGCTTCGGTCAGACGGTCAGGCCGCCCAGCAAAAAGCAGCCCCTTCTTCACAGCATCCAGGGGAGCGGCTGCTTCACCTGCTGTCCCTTGTCAGTAGCGAGTGCGTTTGCTGCCGGCTCTGCTGGCGTGACACTGACAGCGCCACCTCTTTGCCTTACGAGTCATCTACGTGGCAGCTGGCTGCCTCTTTCGTTCACACACGTACCGTAGAGGCCCTTCCAGGCCAGCGTGGGCCAAGCATGGGATCTGGAGGAGGAGAGCTCTGGCTTTGTGAAGGTGCTGCTTTTCCCTTTCCCCCAGTGCAGAACGGAGTGCTGCTCCTGCCGGAGGAGGAGAGTCACTTTGTTAAGCGGTCTGCTGGGACTCAAAGCAGGAAATAAGCGGGGGGTATTTGTTTCCGTGATAGATGGGCTGGTCCTCCTTCTCTTGGTCAATTTGTTCTGATATTTTACTTTCTTAGAAAGTTTTGCTGTCTCCTCAAAGCGAGGCTGTATTTGGAATGGGAAACACTGCTATATGAGACTCTGTCCTCTGACTGCCAAGCTAAGTAGGCATATGTGCCTGGTTTTGAACAAGCACTGCCTGACACCAGCATATTTTTTTGTCTCTGCCAGCTGTGGGAAGCTGGTAGTGTTCAGTACAATTGCTGGGCCTAGGGCAGTGGCTGTCTAACCATTTTGGAGAAAAAACTCTTATCTTATAGGGGGATTGATGTAATGACTATAGAGCAGAGGTGGGGATATTTCTCATCTTGCATCCAGAAACCTGCTGGCGTGATTTTATTTAGGAAGAAAAAAAACCCACCAGTCGGTCTTTAGCTGAGATCACCTCTGTAAGTGATGTCCGTGGGGAAAAGGTGCACAGAGCAGTCAGATCTGTAATCGTGTCCTCTTAATTCCTCAGGAAGCTTTTGAAGCCTCAAGTTCTTCTTGTTGAGTTTGGCAAGGACAGACTAACAGTGTCACTGAACCCTGGGGCCATAGGAAAGGGCTGAGTGTAGCTTGTTGGCTAAAGATGCTCACAGCTCTTGAGGATCTAGCTAGTGAGTCGGATTTGTGCTGAAGGCATGGAAGGAAATGACTCATTGTGCTGTTCTTTTGGCTGCAGCTGCACAGTAGCCTGAGAAGCAGCTCCTTGGAGCCCCCACTGACCCACTTGTGCTCTCTGTGTTGCAGGATGTGATCCAGGTATCTAAGAAATACCTCCCAGGGATGGCAGTGGGGTATTCCAGCGCTAAGCTGACCTTGCATGTGGGAGATGGTTTTGAGTTCATGAAACAAAATCAAGAAGCCTTTGATGTGATTATCACGGACTCATCTGACCCCATGGGTAAGAGTTCTGGCCATAAAAGGGCAGTGCTTTCTGCACTCCTCCTCCTCCTTTTCTCTTCTGCCTACCTCTTAGAAGTAAAGCCAGCCTGCCGAGGCTCCTTGCAAGTGAAAAGAATGTTACTGACATAGTTCTTTTTGTAGAGAAAGGGAAGGATGAAGACCAGAAAATTGTATTAGCAGGGCATCAAGCCAGCTGTCATGTTTTCCTCCTAAAATTCAACTCCAGCAGCTATTACTTCTGGCAGAGAGTTGATCCTTGAGTCCAGCAATCCCGTGGGGGATACAGCACCATGCTGGCAAAGACGGCTTTGTACATGTGTCCGCTAATGAAGCAGTGGCTCACATGCTGTTGGTGTAGCTACCTAGCGTAAAGATGGCTGTAGTGAGGTTGCTGTATTTCTGAAGGGGAAAACTGAGGTAGAGAGGGACCAAATGTAGTTGTGGCACCTTGTTTTAGTGACCTAATGACAAGTGCCTGAGTCACCTTCACTGTTACTGTAGTTGATACAGGGAGAGGCATCTCTAAAAGGCAGTTTGGAGCAGGAGTTCAGTTTAAAAAATGCTTACTGAAGCAAGAGGCAGCTGCTAGGACTTTCTTGGATAAAGGTCCTGGGCTTGCTGTTGAGCAAAGCTAAAGTCCTGATGGTTTTGCTATGCTGGGTGCAGGCTGGGTGAATCCAGGGTCAAAATTTTTCTCTTCCAGATTATCTTCCAACACTTGTGATTGCTGAAAAGCTATTTGAAATGTCTCTTTTTCCAGTGCAGTCCCTGTGTACCCTGGGCATTCAGAAAACTCTCAGAAGCCTATCATCTTAGTCCCTCTCTAGACATATCTCTTTACTCACTGTTCTCCCAGGTCCTGCAGAAAGCTTATTCAAAGAATCTTACTACCAGCTGATGAAGACAGCCCTGCGAGAAGATGGGATTCTTTGCTGCCAAGGTGAGGCTGCTGTCTCTGGGCAGAGGCTGACGCCAGATCATTGCATGCAAAGTACAAGGCACAAACGGGACTCTCTTCCTGGGGAGACGTGACACAAGGACTGAAACCCCTTTCAGCATTTTTGATCTGTGTACGTCAACTCGTTAACTGCTGGACTGTGCTTAGTAAAACTGCCATAAGGGTCTTATCTTGCCTTTGAAACCACATGAGCCGTGCAGAGTAGAGCAGGTTTGGACTTGGAACCACTGTTAGCCTGGCCCAGGCCTGTGCAGAGAAGAGGGGCAGCTCTCACCTTGCCTCCTGTCTTCCTTTCTCCCTGTAGGTGAGTGCCAGTGGCTGCACCTGGATCTCATTAAGGAGATGCGTCAGTTCTGCAAGTCTCTGTTCCCTGTTGTGGAATACGCCTATTGCACCATCCCCACATATCCCAGCGGGCAGATTGGCTTCATGCTCTGCAGCAAGAACCCGGTGAGTTTCAGGCACCTGAAGTGCCCTTTTCCACTCCCTGAAAGCACCCGCAGAGCGTGCCTCAGGCTGTCGCTTGCAGAGCCTGAGCTGTGGCGCTGAGCTCTCCCAGCCGCGGGGCCTCTAGACTCATGCTGGGCCCTGTCTCTGCCAGCCCAGGGCCCCAGAGCTGCCGTGCAGCTTGCTCAGTGCTGAATGAAGTGTGGAATCGACCAGTAACGTAACCGGTTGCCTTAGAAAAGGACATGGTTTTCTCTCTAATGCAACAGACTTGGAAAGGAGGAAGCCACTACCAATTTCCAGAGCCTGTTAAGGCTTTGGCTTATTGATGCTGGTTGTTATAAAGTTGGCAGCTGCTTGATAAGAATCAGCTTGCGACTGGTAATCTGCTCGTACAGAGGCCTCCAAGTGAGAGTCAGTGTTAGGGTGTGGGCTGGTAGCTCTGTCAGACCACTGAGGTCTGGTCTCTTCCCAATCTGCTGCATTACAGCAAGCCTGTAATGCAACTGTCACTTTGGTTTAGGGAGTCAGTGGCACTTCTGCTGCTGTGTTTGATTTTTCTGGGGCACTGGCAGTGTGTGCTGTGCCTGACTTAATGCAGATGTGGATTCTGCTCTGCAGAGCAAAAGCCTTGCTGCTTAGATGCTCAGGCAGAATCTGACAGCTTCATCTGGCACATGGCTCACACGCAGTCTGACCTCATACGCTGACATCTGTGAATAAGAGCTAGTCACACGAGGTACGGAGTGTAAACTCCAGCCTTTGGGGCTGGAGCTGTGCAGAACCTTTGACCTCATACTAGAACAGAAAGTCATCTGTTTTGCTGCGAGTCCTCTTGCTTCTCTGCCATGAATCGGGATGCCCATCATACAGACTTTTGCCCGTTATCCAAACGCTGCTGAGCTACCTGGCTCCTTGTTTTGCAGAACACAAATTTCCGGGAGCCTGTGCAGCAGCTCTCACAGCAACAAGTAGAGGAGAGGAGTCTGAAATACTACAACTCTGACATTCATCGGGCAGCTTTCATTCTGCCAGAGTTTGCACGGAAGGTAAGCAAGGTTGTGCTGTTACTCCTCCATCAAGGATGAGGTATGACTTTTCTTTGGCAGGAGTGGGAGTATACAGGACTAAGGATTTCCTGCAGCCCTAGAGGCTTCTGTGGGCAAGTTGGAGCAGGACAGCGTTTTGTATGACATAGAGGAGTATGAGTCAGTCTGGGAAGACTGGAGTTCAGTTTGGAACTGTTCTTCAGGTTGATATCCCATGCCTTGATGGCAAATCGCTCCTACTTCACCTACCAAAACTAAATCCAAGAGGCTGCAGAACTGGTGTTTCCCATTGGAAAGCTCCAAAAGCTTTAGACAAAATGTGGTTGTGGTTTCTAGCCCAAACCAGAGGGTAAAGAAAGGATGCTCTAGCATAGTTCAGTCCATCCTCTTGAAGCGTAGTCTATTTCTGCATCATTCCATCATCTCCTAACGGGGTTGCAACTGCAGGTTCTGGTAAAGACCTTAGAGTGTCCTAGGGGTGAAGGCAAATGCCATGGTTGTGTTTCAGAGCCATATTTCTGTTGAGAACTGGTAGAGCTGCAGCAGGTCCATGCTGACACCTTTTTGTCTTCGGCTGTCTCCAGGCCCTGAGCGATGTGTGAGACTGAGAAGCTGCTTCCTTCCTTCAAGTTGGACCCTGAGATCGCCAGTGATGTGGTTGGGACCTTCCCAGCAGACTGCAGATTTACTCTCCACTGTGTGGGATTGTTTAACCCTTTGCCAGCCAACATTCCCTTTGATGATGTGTTAAAGATGATGGGGCATAAGCCAGATAAGACTATTGAAAAGGTCCAGTGACTTATTGCGTGAGGTCAAAACTGTTCTTTCCAGTGCTGGAAACGTAAGATGTCTTTTTCCTTTCTCTCCTCCCTGCACCCATTCTAAATTCTCCCCTCCCCTTGTCCCCTTCCCACCTCCACCCCCTGCAACTGACATGATGTATTTATAACTGACACCTATTTCTGTCTGGTGATCTTCTGAAACCTGGGAAGAGTCCAGAAGGGTCACTGACTCAGCCTTAAGCACAGAGAGCGAGAGCTTTGTGCGTAAAGTTAGCTTGCTCTCTCCTAATAGGAGCTCCCTGCTGCTGAGACGTTTTGACTGGTAACGGGTCTGAGCCTTCGTGTCCCACTGCCCTTCTGCGACACCTGCACTGTTCTGCAGCACAGTTGGAGAAGTCACAGTGCAAACTGTTGCCATTCACAATAGGTCTCCCTCCAACCCTGATGGAGTAGCAGTATTAAACACCAGCCAGGCAGGCTGGCAGCAGTCTTGTGGC